CGATGTCCTTCAGGCGTTCCGGATCGGATCGGGGTTCGTACTTCGTAATTTTTTTTTAATTACGTCACCACTACTCGTTTCTCTTAGCACCCCCTTTCGCATTACCTTTAATTGATTTCAAAACAAAGAATGAGGCCCTCCGATTCGATGTATTATTCCCGCCTCATTGTTGATCGGCTCGCTTAGCTAAGCCGTGAAAAAATATTAGCCCTGACTGACGGCAGCTATACTCTTCGAACAACCACGCTCGTAGGTATACCATGAGACGCACAAGTCGTGCGTCTCATGGTATACCTACGAGCGCGGGGTTCATGGTATACGTGCGCGGGGTTCATTGTTCCGGGCTGCAGGCTGAAACAGTGAAGAGAAGCGTTCGGGTACATTCACTGCATGTTGTAACAGAGGTGCGCATACATCGGCTGAAAGAGAGAGAAACCGCCGACAGACCGCCGTCATTTGTCCTTACAACAATGCCCAGATTGCTGGGTAGACTGCGTGCTCGTACAGTGGCAACGAGGAAGTGTGATAGCTTCGTTATTCTCTCAAGACGCTTTATGTGTCAGACCCATTATTCTCGCGCATCTCGGAAACAGGACGCCTCCGCGCGGATCGTTGAAGTTTTTTTTTTTTTTTAAGTGAAGTTCGCACCCCAGTATGTGAATTCGAGAGGCTTAGATTTCTTTTCGTCGTTACTTCAAAGCAGGTACCCCGAGACAAGCTTAATGCAGACTGGGGAAAGGCAACAGAGAAAAAGACTGGAGCAAAAGTTCCCGCAGAAAGTAAGCTGCGCTAAAAGAGAGACGCTATTCTATGGGCGCTGAAGACATTTGCTGACCACAGGAACTCCTTGTTAAACGGAGGTGATGCGTGTAACGACGCAGACGTTCAAAGCTGACAAGAAGCAGTCGTAGAGAGTTGTTGCATGATCGATTGCAAACGAAAGATTGAATACAGCTTAGTGGCATAGCCAGGGGGTGGCACACCAAGCCTGTGCCCCCCACCCCCAAGGACACCTCTTTCCTGCTCTCCTCCCCGGTAGGATATTCTGCTTACGCCCCTGTTACAGTCATGTGGAACATCTGCGCTAGTACAGTGAGGGAGGGCATACATTCATGCGAGCATATAAAAATGGAAATGCAGTTTCAGTATCGTGATTAATCAATAAACGCAAAAAGGAGAAGGAAATGACACCTCGTCACTGATGTGGATTCGTGTCAGCGAAAGATGTCCTGCGTGCTGTTACAAAAATGAACAGCGATCGCAAGTTAGTTCCTGGTTCGGTAGCCTGTGCTACGATTTGTTACGCTCAAAAGGGCGTTATGTGTGAAACTTATATACAAGGTTATCAGAAAAATGTGTCGCGTTTCAGATTACAGAGTGAAAAAAAAAAGGGAGCATGATAAAATATTGGCATTAAATGTATTGATTTATTATATGGGGGGTTTAATGCATGCTCCAATACCACCATGTGATCATGAGAAACGCTGTAGAGGAGGGCTCCGGATATTTTGACCACCTGGGGGTTTATTAACGTGCACCCAAATCGGAGCACACGGGCATACGGTATTTTTGCCTTGATCGAAAATGCAGCCGCCGCAGCCGAAATTTCATCCCGCGACCTGCAGGTCAGCAGCCGTGTACCGTGGCGGGGCAACATTACATTGATTTATTAAACAAAAAAAGAAACAAAATGCAGGTGGCTGGGAAAACAATGCATGAAAACCCACATCTGAGCTATAATTAAGCCCAGCACGATTTTTTTCGATTGACTAATGTCCGATTAAGCGTGCAGTATCGTAGAGTTTAAAGTGAGACTCATGAACACAAGTTGAGAACTTGCACACGCCAACAGTAGGTACCGTCAACCACAAAAGTTTGCGGACCACGCGAGCGCGTGCTAAACTGCCTGTCCGCGCCATCTACCGTCTACCGCAGTGTTAGGGTGGAAACGGGCTTTCTTGTTACTGACTGGCCTTTATATTTCTACTGCCGCGAAGCACGTTGTTAGTTCACAACTTTCGCGCGAAGCGCGTCTCTTAAGTATGACCACCACATATCTGTTTTCATAGCATCTCCTGCTATCAAGGCGTGCCTCAAGCGGCGTTCCGTCAGCTATGTGTCACATTCTGATAAAGACTGCTAATAGTTAAGGCACATAGACTGCTCTGATTGATATGAGGGGTTTAACGTCCCAAAACCACCATATGCTTACGAGAGACGCCGTAGTGGAGGGCTCCGGAAGTTTCGACCATCTTGGGTTCTTTAACTTGCACCCAAATCTGAACACGCGGGTCTACAACATTTCCGCCTCCATCGGAAATGCAGCCGCCGCAGCCGGAATCCGATCCTGCGTCCTGCGGGTCAACAGCCGAGTACCTTAGACACTAGACCACCGCGCTGGGGCGCATAGACTGTTCTCGAGGCAGAAGAACGTAGACGCGGTTGCCAAAAAAGATGTCACGGGAAAAAAGATAAAATAGATAATAATAGGTACCCAGTCGGCAAATAGAAGGGTCGTAAATTAAGGGAGGGATGCTTACAGGGCGGGCGCAACAGTGCTGTATACCACCGCTGACCTAGCCGAAGTGTCGTGAAGAGGATTTTGGCCACGCGATCACGCTGTCCGTAAACTTTGGTGGTCGACTGTACATGCATGAATAAACGATACCACGCATATGCAAAATACGCATGAGTAATTTCTTTCGAGTGCTATTCAAAGGTCCTCTCATTTTTTTTCTTTTTTATTACAATCGCATTTTATTTTCAAGCCAAAAACAACACGTCCAGCTCCACTTCACACATAATGACATTCTTGTTGTTGTCTCGTCCATGGTAATAAAAATGTCGAACTTTGAATATATCGCATGCCTTATAACTTGATCACGAAATGCTTTCACGGCAAAATCAGCCCTAATATCGCGAGAAAAAAAATATATATATATACGTGGAAGGAAAGGTCATATGTGGTGCCCGTTTTGGCATTCTGTTCTCCCCACCAGTTTTAAACTGAGAAAAAAAAAGTAAAGAACATAGTTATGAAGTGTCATGAGTGAACCATGAAAGTGAACAGAAAGAAACAGGTGCCGAGTTCACAAGTCCTGGCATCTGTCATATTGGCTTAATGCAAACGAATTAACATTGAAAATAAGCACAATAACTTTGCTTAGGATTGCAAGACACACCATATTTACTCTCAGAGGGTTCAAAGAAAATCTTTGAAAACCTGTACACACAGCCAACGGCATATATGAAGGCATTCTGGAATGATAGTTTTCTTATCTCGAACGATTCCCGCGACCCATTCCTGCGAAAAACATGATAGTGAAACTGAATGCGCCTAATATTGAGTCTGCAGACTGGCCATATATTTAAGACCCTTCTTACGTTTCCTCCGCCTTCACAACTCCGCAGCCATACTTGTATTCCTTGATTTTATTTAAACACTGTGTGCTCTGTCTTCATTCGTTTGTTACGAAGCCGCGAATGTACGTGTTAAATTCCACTTCTCTGATCACGCTGCGAACCCGACCGCCACGAAACGGATTTATATGCAAATCAGATGCGCCTTCCCAGTGCTCCGCTCCTTTTGACAGTCCTTTGTTTTGCTTAGTCTTCCGGCGAAAAACCCACTTAACTATGCAACAGGTGTCAAGTGCCATTTCACTGCTGCTGCGCGCAATACGTATGTTAATACTACCGCGAAAAAAAGTTTAGAGACTTTTGGGAGCACAGTACGGCGTGAAAGTGCGGCTTTTAAAAGATAAAGATAGAGAAGACGCGTATGAATCGGTGCTGCGTTCGATTTTTTTTTTTCGCACAGGCCAAAATGCTTTATATATGCATTCGGCGTTGCAGATGGTTCACCTGCCAGTAAGCATTCTGCACGCATGTAAGCACGATCTTCCTTTCTCTTTTAAACCATCAATGTATCTCCATGATGAACCGAACCAAACTGACGTTTCGCGAAATGTTTTTCGTCGACGTGAGATGCGTCTGCTCAAGTCGAATTTGCATTCGACTTGTCTTCTCATTGCACAGCGTCCACACTAACACAAACGCGTGATCGGAAGCGAGAAAACAAACCCATTCTCCAGTCCACATGCGCAAGCATGTTTCAATTTTTTTTCTCGTATTGTGATCATGTTACGAACGTTCGCATTATTGAGACAGCCATTGGTGACACCACTTGATGAATAGTGGATGAGCTGCCGTTCAGGCATGCTAAATATTTTCCCGCGTCGTCCTCAGAGTCTACCTCGATGGTCGTGCTGTTTCATCCGAGCTAATTGAGTCAGAAAGGAGCGAGAAGAAAACAAATAAATGAGAAGTATCCCGCCTGCGTTGCCTCCGGCCCATTTAGACGTGTGTCAGTGGCCATCTTACTATGCTTTCCGCTGCAGCTCGGTTTGCTCGCTGCAAAATTATATATAAAGGTAAGGCTGGGTTTTGAATACGGGCGTAAGCCATAGCATCGTGTAAAAAATCAAAGGTATCGCAACTTTCTGCACTTGTCACAGTTCAATGGCAAGGTCATAGCATCATATGCTGCAATCCTTCGTGTGAGTTTAATGTTTATAGCTTGTCAGCATTACATATATTTTACACTTTCTTCTCTTTAGTAAGACCCCCAAAAAAATGTGTGCTCACAGCTGAAAAATAGGGAAACATTGCCGAATTTAGGAATAAAGTGATCGAATAGAATTTTGGTGGCAAACGAGAAGACGTTCTCGCCCGGCAGCCAGCTTAAGTCAATCTCAAGTGTGGCGGGCAGAGCTGGAAAAGCCTACGCCATATGTGGACACTGTGAAGCAGAAAAATGGGTTATAAATAAAAAACACGCAGGGTGGGAACTACATGAACAGCTATAGAGCAACACTAAATGGCTCACGGCGAGCCGCAGGCTTGTTTGTTCTCGAGATTATATTTTGGTCGGACTGAAAGAGAAGGGGCCAGTGACAGTGAAAGGTGACGGTGAAGGGGGGGCTGTAGCTACGTCTCACCTCTAACAGACGCACGACGTGTAGGTATAGGTACTGAAAACGCATCGGCCAGGTAGCGGTTGAAGAGGTGAACGATAAAAGCAAGCAGAAGCGAGGGGCAGGTCAAGGAGATGTTGAGAAAAAACAAACAAACATGGGAGTCGCGTGGAGTGAAGTGGCCGGGAGTCCTGGCACTCCGCGACCAATCAAAGGCCACCATCCTTAACTCCATCTCTGAATACACGGGAACGGCACGTTGGCTTCGGTCATATACTGCCGACTCGGCAGGTCGGGGGCTGCAGGTCGAGAGGAGCCACCACCGGGAGAGAGGGGGCGTAGAGAGTGAGAGAGGGTGCACGAGGAAGGTGTACAAGGTGAGGGGTGTCGTGGGGTGGCGCGCTTGTTTTTCGCTGGCTCTGCGCCTTCCTGCACGCTCCACACGGTTACTGCAGCCTTTACCGCGTGTAACGACCTATACGCCTTTCTGACGTTTTTAGTTTCTTCTATTTCCCTGTTTTTTTTTTTTTTTCATTGAAGGACGGGCCTGTTTGTTTTTCCTCGTTCGGCCGCTTGTCCGCGACCAGCGTGTTTAGGAGCAGCCGATGTAGCGAAAACGCTCTGCACGGATGGCTGGGACGATATATTGGCGCTATATGAAAGGACTCTGTTAATATGCTCGCCCTGGATACGTGTGGGGCGATCGGGTATCGCGAGCTGTAGAGCCACGAAGCGCGCACAATATGCGTGGTTACCGCCGGGGTTATGTGTCTGTTTAATCTATTGGCCGGGTTATCCCGAGTATGTTGTGTTTGCTGGTATATATTCATTTTTTTGCCGCATATTAAAAAAAAAGTTGTTTCATGCAAAGCGCATGTAGCGATACTTCTCCGCTGATGCATTTACTGCACGAACAGTACAATGTGCCCGTGCATTTCTATCAAGCGCGCCAGCAATGCGTTTGTGATGTCATCGGTACGATAGCTATAGGCTGTACTCGTATCTGAGTAGTGACATTTATGAACTCTGAGATCAACGCGGTGCTTGCTTTTATTACCAATATATACTACAGAGATGCTGCGGAGATTACCACTTGGTGCTACTAAATCGCTACCACTAGATATTATTGCCGCTACATGCTACGGAGAACTTGCGCTGCAAACTGGCTGCTTTAACTGCAACGGTTGATTTAGCAAATCATCGAATAATCAACTTCATAAATTTATGAAACTTTGTTCGCATGAAATATTATGTGGGACCATTGTTAAAAGAGAATAGAAGTAAACAGCAAATGAGATAAACTGATGAATTTTACAGAAAACAATATATATATATATATATATATATATATATATATATATATATATATATATGTTCCTTATTGAATCTTGAACTGAACGTCAAAAGCTTTTCTTTCAAATTTCCCGCCGAAGTCTTCAGTAGTGGCGTCACAATTCCGACGCATTCTTCTTTTTTTTTCACATTTTAGCCACACTGCTAAAAAAAATTACTTAGAACTTGGCGCAGTGAAGCATCTGGCTCCCTCACAAGAAAACATACTTCATTTTTACCGCATAAGAACCACGCAAGTCGTAGCAGATATCGTCAAATCAGTGACGTCACGGTGACTGGTGCGAGAACCTCAATATGACGTCAGCACCCTCATTTTATTTCTGTTCGTTTTTTCGCTTACCCAGCGTCTACACACACTGCAAGCGTGGTGATTTTGTTATTGGGAAATTGTAAATTAATGATACGATAAAAATCGTTTTTTTTTTCTGTTTAGTTTCTCTTTAAAGACGCGCGGGTCAGTTGAGAGAAACTACTGAAAATTTCGTTATTCGCGCTTTGGAGGACATTGCTTCCCAATGATAGGAGCATAAAAGATTAAATTGAATTGAAAAGTTCATACACATTGAAAATACACTCGTTGTAGCAATATTCTGGAGAAACTCGAAGTTCGAGGTGTTCTGGGAGCGCGGGAGGAAATTCAATTACAACGGGTGTCAGTGAGAAACCGAGTAATGGAATTCAGATTTTATGGGGACTGTTTCGAGCACGCGATGAAATTGATTCGGTACTCACTAACGCCAGGTGGCCTGCCGAGTCCTGTGACCTGCCGAGACAGTGGCACGCGGAATCAATTCTCGCCGTACTTCTAAAAAAATCTGCCCGTTTTCTAAGAAACCCCGGATGACGCCCACAGGCACAACTTATTATCATCGTGAACAACAAAATTAACGACGTGTGCAGGTGCACGTGTTACCCTATGGACGCATTATGGGAACCTCGTCAACTCGTAAAAGGAAGAATTATGTACTGACAATCACAACTGTACTCAAAGTAGGCATTCTAGCATAGCTTTCAAACAGCCAATGTTGCGCGCACAGATGTTCATTTCACTGTGGCACGGTTTAATCATCCGCCCAGAACCGGAACCATTCTAGCAATCAAGAAGGTGATGCTAACCGGCCTAGATTACGCTATCGCGTTCTACCATTCAAGGTGAAGCTCAAGTGCTCTTCAGGTTTTTGTTCATTTTTATTGCGATGCCCACTTGTCTCCAAGTCATCATGTCCGGCATGCATCGCAGAAGATGAGTGAGTCGAGCACGCTGTGAAGCATCCTCAGTGTTTCCTTTGACATATTATGTCATATCCAGCCCCGGGACAAGATCCGCAGTATGCGAATGAACTTGGTTTGCAAATCGCAATGTGATCACTGTGAGCCGCGAGAAAAGTGCAATTACGCAAGAAACAACACTTGTTCTCTCTTTAAATTCGACGCATTAGTTATGAACTTTTACTAACTGGTGGTGGTGACGATAGGTTAATTGGACATTTTTGAACTTGTCTGAATAGGGCGATTTTTCACCTCGTGACCGGGACCTCGAGTCCCGAATGTAATTCACTTGCATTTGCTAAGCGGCAATTACGTATCATGAATTTTCAATCAAGTGGAATGCCCATAAGGCAATACGCTCAAACAGGATAAGCGTTCTAGAGGATCAAACGACCTCGGAAGTGAACGGCTGAACGAAATATTTTGAGCTCATTAGAGCTGGAAACGTATGTTTACGCAAGTAAAAAACAGATTTAAGAAATTGAGGGAGAAAATACAGGCTGAAGCTTTTTAAATAAAGGCATAGCACACATGATGGTAATGTGAGAAATAGCGCGATCAGTGCATCATTGGAAATGAAATGAAAAGAAAGGAAAAGTTTGTAACAAAAAATCAAAGTTAGATCGCTTAGTGGGCACAACGCAAAGAAAGGAAGCAACACATCTGTACAGTTTCATTGACTGACAGTCCCGAGCAAATTTATATAAACCATAGTTATGTAATGCTTCGCGGAGAAATTACTCTTAGATATTCACGTGAGTGTAACAAACATTTGAAAACGTACATGTTAATGAGCCAATTCTCGCCTAATTATTCCTGTATTGTTGCTGGCTCGCCCTGCGAGTCAGCAACAATACAGGAATAATTATTTGTGAGCTAAAGCTTGCAGCTTATTTTCGAAAAGGTATTTTTTCGCACGCTCGTGCCATTATTCTCAGCTTTGTGCAACTCTAAAGGCATACGCAATTTCAACTTGTAAATACTAGTTTGTATTCTATTATATTACGTCTTACGGTGTTACGCAAGACGATTTTTTAGGCTAACACTGAAGGCAGTGTTACGTAAAGGTTCGGGGAAGTGTCAACTGCAGACTTGTGTGGGGTTACGATTATAATGAATGGAAGGTAAGCAGAAGGCTTGAAGCCATGCGATGTTCTTGTTTTATTGCTGAACCAGCCACTTGATGACACGTCAGTGATAAAACTGAAGGAACATACAGACGCATTCCCCATAAACAGAAGCAGGTAAAGAAAATAAGGGGGTGGGGGATGTACTATTTGTGTTCACGTATACTCGATGGATGGGCGTCTCGGTTTACTACGGAAAATGTGACATTTACAAATGAAGTTACTTTACCAGTGCACGTTTTTGGGAGGCAGGCTGGTACTACGAGAGTATAGTAGAGGAAGGTAGGTATATAACAGAAGACAAGTGACATGCGCGTTGCTGTGCTTGTTGTCTTTTCTGCGCGCTTGTGCAGTTTTGTTGCCCAAGAAAGTTACTTGCTGCTGATCGACACCAGTGGCCTATAGGTAGAAATTCCTTTAGGGGGGGGGGGGGGGCATGTTTTTGATTCGACACTGAGCCCTGGCTGGTTTGTGTGGCCGAGTGTCGTTTTTGGTCGGCATACCATGAAAGAAAATCATTTCGGGAAGGGGAGGGGGAGAGGCCTGGGGCATATTGTGCCATTACCCCCTGGCTACGGCACTAACTGATACGTCGTCTTGAAAGGATGTACTTCGTGGTCGAGTTGACAAGTTACTGAATGCGTAGTTTGGCGCTGATAAACACGCACATGAAAGAAGATGACGAGTACGACACCCAACCGCGGTGTCATCTTCGTCTTCTTTTGTGTACGTGTTTATTAGCGGCAGATTAGGCATTCGGCACTGGTACGTCATCAAAAAGGACAAAACGAAGGTACAGCCGACTCGAACATAGTTGGCAATGTTCAACGATAGCTTGCCGTTACCTTTAATTTGATACTCTAGATAATCTGGCTTGGATAGCCATTGCTTAGTTCAACTTTTAGGGCTTTGATACGAAATGTTACGTTATGAACCATATCAAAAACTCAGCGATGGATCACACTGTACCTATTGATAACAGGTCTACTCAACGAATTAGCAATCACATAATACCGTGCCTACGCAGGATTTGTCCACTTTGCTTGTCCACACAACTTTCTAAACAAATAAAGGTGTAGGCATGCGGCAGAAAAAAAGGCCCAATAATTGATAACAGTCGCCTGGAATGAAAAATCAGTCTTTCCTCACGCAGAGTGACGAGGCAACTGAATAGTGAGCATTCGCCAGCCTATTATTCATTCATCCATTCATTATCCATTTTGCCTATGCACTTGACAATGTATTGTAGCTTCACAGCAATGATTCAAAAAACAAATACGAATAAAATCAGACACTAAAGCCCAATTTTTCCGCATGGTTTTGTCGCTGTCTTATACGTTTTTTCAGCGCAACGGGGACACAGTTGTGAGTTGGGGCATACGCCTTTGATGTGTCCTAGCTTGAAGCACTGATGATATGGAAGTGGCTT